ATGCAACTCACAGTCCACAAACCCCGCTCCAGTCAGCATTTTGGGCTCCCATCCTTAAATGTGACCAGATAACCAAGATTCCAGATATCCGAGGAAAGCCTCTAACAGAGAAAATAGAGACTCAAACCAACATGTGGTGAAGGGAGGGCTTGGAGGAAACAAGGAGTACACATGAAGAAGAGAACATTAAGAGAAGCTATGTGGTCAGGAAACAAGAGCACGGTACTACATTGTTTAAAAAGGAAACTTCAGAGAATAAAAAAGAGCTCTTGGAAATTAAAATATGAGAGTAGACATGAAAACTCCAAAGGAAGACTGGAAAATGAAACTGAGGAAACCTTCTAAAAATCAGAGCAAAAATACAAGATTGAAAATAAGAGGGAAAAAAAATAGACTATAAGGACAGGAAATCTACTATCTGAGGAAAACATGTTCCAGATAGAACAGAGGAAACAGAGGAGAAAAGCATCGCTGAAATAATTCAGGAACATTTCCCAGAACTGAAGGAGGAGAATTTTTAGACTGAAAGGGTTCACTGAGTGTCCAACACAGTGGATGAAAGTCGGCTCACACCAAGATATCTCATTGTGGAACTTCAAACACTGGGATAATTCAAGATCCTAAAAGCTTTCAGAGAGAAATAAATCAGGTCACACAGAAATGATCAGGACTCAGAATAGCTCCAGACTTCTCACTAATAGCGATGGAAACCTAAAAGACCATGGTGCAATGGCTTCAGGTTTTAAGGAAAATTATTTCTGACCTAGAATTCTATATCCAGCAAAACTACCTTTAATCAAGTGTAGGGCCGAATAAGGCTATTTTCAGACATGTGAGATTTCAGAAAGTTCATTTCCTTCATGGTTTCTTTCTCAGGAAGCTAGTGGAGATGACGTTCTACCAAAATGAGGGGGTAGACAACGAAAAGGAAGACGTGGTATACAGAGAGGTGAGGAGACACGCAGAGGAACACAAAGGGGGATCTCAGGAAGCCAGCCAAGCACAGAGAACAGCTCGCTCACACTGAAGCACGGCAGAAGCCCTGGCAGGACAGATCCCAAAATAGAAAACTCACCAGATTCACACTGATCTGGACTTTAGGAGATGAGATTTAGGTAACCGGCAGAATGTGAGGTTGAATTAGTGATAAGTTTGTAGAAACTAAGCAAATGTAAAAATGACAATAATTAACTCAAGGGGGAAAAAACATGCTGAAAAGTAAAAGTAAGCAAAGTCAGCTAGCTGATTCCACCCTGAATAGTGTTTGCAGAGTAAAAATAATGCAAACACTGAAGATCGCTTTCATCAAGCGTATGCTATTGCTTTTAGGATGATGGGGAGATGGGAGAGGTGCATGCGTGTGCTGTAGGGAGTGGAGAAAGAAGGGAGGCTAAGTGCCCATCCTCCTGAGAGATAAGTAAGTAAGTAATGCCGAAAACAGAAAAGATCAAGAAGCAGTAATGCATGCATATTATTAGACACATAGAGGTAGCCACCCAAGAAATTGAAAATGATTTTCTTTTAGGGTGTGAGTTATGGGGATAGGGGTTGTGGAATGCTCTTTTTTATAGCAAACCTTGTCCTATGTTGGACTGTTCATATGAACTGTGTTTATATATAACTTTAATAAAAACTAAAAATTAAGAACTATTAAACATTGGGACAAGACAGTATTTTAAGTCCTGTTGGATATAAAGTTCTTGTAGTAGGACCAGGCGCGGTGGCTCATGCCTGTAATCCTAGAACTTGGGGGGGCCGAGGCGGGTGGATTACTTGAGGTCAGGAGTTTGAGACCAGCCTGGTCAACATGGTGAAACGCTGTCTCTACTAAAAATACTAAAGTTAGCTGGGCATGGTGGTGGGCACCTGTAATCCCAGCTACTCGGGAAGCTGAGGCAGAAGAATAGCTTGAACCTGGGAGGCAGAGGTGACAGCGAGCCGAGTTCACGCCACTGCATTCCAGCCTGGGCAACAGAGGGAGACTCCATCTCAATTAAAAAAAAAAAAAAAGTTCTCATAGTAGAGGATAGTGAAGGGATGCAGACACAAAGGAGAGGCTGATGACCTGTTTTCTTGATTGGAGTGCTGATTGCTTGAGCGTGTTTCTTTTGTGAAAATTCCTCAAGCTGTACATACATGATGTGTGCACTTCTATGTATGTATTTTTTACCTCAACCAAACATTTACTTACAAAATGATAAGTAACAGGCTACATCTTGTGTCAGTGGCTTTAGGTATAAATTGTGCACTTCACAGTGGTACTCCAGAGTGTAAACATTAAAGCTCCTGGTGGCCCAGTTGGCGAGAATCTCTTCTTTTTGGCATCCTTTGTCTCCAGGATTTCTGGGCATGCCCAGGGAACACGATGCATGCCTCAAGTCAGTCTTGGCGTGACTGGTCCCCACAGCCAACCTCTCCCTGTCTGAGTCACGTCTTGCCATTTTTACAGGCTCTTCCATGCTGCTGCCACAGTCACCTCAACATTGCCCCACAGTACAGACCCACGTCCAGAGGCACAGCCTGAGGAGGAGGGTGGTTGGCAGGGCAGGGTGCTCATAGAACAGACATCCCCCGCTCCACCCCATACCCTTTGAGGACCTTTCTGTGTGTATTCCCAGGTTATTGCCACCATGACAACTCCTGTCTTCTTTCACCCTGTTATTACTGTTGATCAGTGAGTGATAAATGGTGTTAACTGTCTTAATATTTTGTCGAAAGTATTTGGGAAATACAGCAGGTCCTCAAATAACATCATTTTGTTCAAGGTCATTTTATTATAACATGATAGTATTATAACCTTCCTACATTGTGTGCTTAAGGTGATACCTCCAGCTAAATATCCAACCAGGTCTATCCCCGAAATCCCCAAGTCCAGCAAAGACCAAAGGAATTAGACACCAGGAGATGAAAACTTTAAACTGGCAATAAAACATCTCTGTACATGGATTCCCTGTTCCATGCTTGAGACAAAGGCTACAAGGCCCTTGCCACCCCAGCGTTGTCCCCACTCATCTCTTCTGGTAAACCTCGGTCTTTTTCTTCTCCATCATCATTATCATTGTAAATTCAGCAGAAACGCAACACTTCCCGTGGTGCCAAACATCTTTTATGTTATTATGCAGAGCAGTTTTCTCTTTCCCCAAACTTCCAAATATTACATTTTAATGCCTTATGCATAACCAAAAGGCCTATTCAAATATTTTTAAACAAAGCTAAATAGTACCATTCCCCTCATGACTGTCATGCCTACCTCCAGACACTGATAATTGTCGGCAATCACCAAATCAGCTTCTCTATCCTCAGAAAAACCCAGATCTCAGCAGGTGATCTGGCTACACATGAACATTAAAGAGTGTTCAGATGATAGCCAGGCACAGTGGCTCACGCCTGTAATCCCAGCACTTTGGGAGGCCAAGGTGGGCAGATCACCTGCGGTCAGGAGTTTAAGACCAGCCTGGTCAATATGGTGAGACCTTGTCTCTGCTAAAAGTACAAAATTATCTGGGCGTGGTGGAGTGCACCTGTAATTCCAGCTACTCGGGAGGCTGAGACAGGAGAACAGCTTGAACTCAGGAGGTGGAGGTTGCAGTGAGCTGAGATTGTGCCACTGCACTCCAGTCTGGGCAACAGAGTAAGACTTCATCTCAAAACATACAAAAGAAAAGAAAAGAAAAACCCGGATCTCAGCAGGTGATTTGGCTACATGTGAACAGGAAAGAGTGTTCAGATGCTAGTAGGTAGACAGGGGAGATGATGAAATGGTTCCTACAATGTGATTGAGGACTCCCAGGAGAAATACTTCTCTGGCCTCTTGACCAAGAATAACTGTTCTTTTCTGAACAGTGGGATTGTGTTTACCTTAAGGACACCATAAATCTTATATCTGGTCCTATTTCACCCTCACATTACCAGTTATGAGGCTCAGAGCCTGTCACCAGTTTGTTTCCTTATCCTTATTTTCTCTTTGTCTCATTTTCCTTAGTTTAAGTGTATTTTACTATGTAGTGTTCACTTTCATAAGCCTTAAAATCCTTTTTCAAGACATAAATAAATACTATTTTTAAAATACAGTAAGGTTACAACTACATGATAGAACCATGGGTATATACTGGAAGGCAACCTGGGAAAAAGATAATTGTATTAGGGTGGTAAGATTATGTGTGATTTATTTTCCTTTTCGAATGGACATTAATATTATAAAGTACAATCACCAATACTTTTAGTTATTTTTTTCTGATTGTTAAAGCATATGTTTACTGTTTTTTTAAAAAAGAAAAGATAAAAATATAAAGATGATAATATCATTTACCATCTAACTCTCTAGATATCAGTGTTCTCTTTGGTATTTTTTTCAGTCTTTTTAAAATGCATATGTGTGTGTATATTTGGAAACTGCATATTTTCCAAATTTAAATTATTCTTTTTTTTTTTTTTTTTTGAGACAGAGTCTCTCTCTGTCACCCAGGCTGGAATGTGATGGTGAGATTTCAGCTCACTGCAACCTCTGCCTCCCAGGTTTAAGCAATTCTCATACCTCAGTCTCCTGAGTAGCTAGGACTACAAGCGCCCGCCACCATGCCCAGCTAATTTTTGTATTTTTAGCAGAGACAGGATTTCCCCATGTTGGCCAGGCTGGTCCTAAACTCCTGATTTCAGGTGATGCCCCTGCCTCAGCCTCCCAAAGGACTGGTATTACAAGCTTCAGCCACCATGCGTGGGCCGAAATATAAATTATTCTTTACACTTTTTTTGTAAACTTGCTTTCACATAATGAGTTTCGACATTTTCCCTTGTCATTCAATATTCTTCATCCTCATTTTAAGTTGTGTAGTCCCCATTTACGCGTGTACCATCTTTATGTAATAAATCCCCCTTTGTTGAACATTCAGGTTGTTCACTTTTAGTCCTTCCTTTCTAGGTTTATTTAGATGGCCAATGAGTCAACTTTGCTGAAATCTGTTTCTTCTACTGATATTCTTGTTTTTCTTTTTTCCTTACAGTGGTCTCTGGTTCATCATCCAGCTCTAAGTATGACCCTGAGATCCTGAAAGCTGAAATTGCCACTGCAAAATCCCGGGTAGGACCTCTTCACCTATGCTGTGTGCTAGTGATGGGTGCCACTGAGGTCTTAGGCCACAAGCCCACCCACAAGGCCAGAACAGATGCTTCAGCCAGGCTATGACAGCCAGTGCTAGCAAGGCCCTAAATAAATAACAGTAGAAGCAGTAGTCACAGTAATAGTAATGGTTGTAGCAACTGCCATTTCACAAGCAGTCACCATATACCAGGCACAGTGCGAAATACCTCATGTGTATTTTCCCGTGTCCTTGCAACAACTCTGTGAAGTAACTACTGTCATCTGCATTTTTAAAATTTATTTTTATTTATTTATTTATTTATTTATTTATTTATTTATTGAAACAGAGTCTTGCTCTGTTGCCCAGGCTGGAGTGCAGTGGTGTGATCTTGGCTCACTGCAAACTCCGCTTCCTGGGTTCATGCCATTCTCCTGCCTCAGCCTCCCGAGTAACTGGAACTACAGGCATCCGCCACCACGCCCAGCTAATTTTTTGTATTTTTAGTAGAGACGGGGTTTCACCATGTTAGCCAGGATGGTCTCGATCTCCTGACCTCGTGATCTGCCCGCCTTGGCCTCCCAAAGTGCTGGGATTACAGGCATGAGCCACCGCTCCCAGCCGCATTTTATTTTATTTTATTTTATTTTATTTTATTTTATTTATTTTCTGAGATGGAGGCTCACTGTGTCACCCAGGCTGGATGGAGTACAGTGGTGCAATCTTGGCTCACTGCAACCTCCGCCCTCCCAGGTTCAAGCAGTTCTCTTATCTTAGTCTCCCGAGTAGCTGGGATTACAGGCACATGCCACCATGCCCAGCAATTTTTGTATTTTTAGTAGAGATGGGGTTTCACCATGTTAGTCAGGCTGATCTCAAACTCCTGACCTCAGGTGATCCACCTGCCTTGGCCTCCCAAAGTGCTGCGAGCACAGGCATGAGCCACCACCAAGCTGTCATCTGCATTTTAAAGATGAGCAAACAGAGGCTTAGGGGAGCTAAGAAACTAGCCCAAGGTCACAAGAGATTCAGGTCTTACTCCAAAGTTTCTAATATAGTGTACTGTCTTCCTAGCTACTGATTATTCCGCATTATCTTATTTTAATTACTTCATGATTACCTTAGGGAATAAATATTAGTATTTCCATTTTTACCAGTATGGAAACTGAGGCACAGCGGTGAAATTATTTGCTCATGGCAAAGTCAGTATTTTGAAAAGTGGTTTCGTTAAACTCAACAGTTTCCACAAACTCAAATGCCTGCAAGAAGACATAAATGAGGGATGTGGGCTGGGGGTGAGGCAGTAGAGAGTCGTGGTGACTGTGTAACCAGGAGAGGTCTGCCCAGTCTTCAAGATAATTGCATTTGAATTCTAGTCTGTTGTGCCCATGCTGGAATGTGGGTTCAGTGTTACCAGATCTTCAGGTGTTTTCAGAAAGGAACTATGTGTCTAGGTTTATTATGTGAACTTTCTGAAGATTTGATTATTAGCAACTCATTTTAAAAGTTGAATAATACAGTGTAAGCCACACAAACCAGCAGACCTTGCCTAGCTCCTAGGGCACGTCTTGCCACTAAAGTTACTACATTGCCTCTTGCCTCCACATGAAGCACTCTCATGGCCTCTGCCAGCTTTAAGTGATCCACGGCCCTGGGAATTGCCATTGTCCTCATCCATCAGAACAGGAAAGGGAGGCTCAGGATGGCAAGATGGCTTGAGAGAGGTCACACAGCAGGGAAGTGGGAAGGCCCACTCTATCCCAGGTCAGCTCCTGTCCACCTCCTGTTTCCCTGGAGCAAGGACTGGCTAGGAATGACCTACAGAAACACTGTCTGGGATGCTGACTGAATGGGCATCTGCAGAGACCAAGGCCAACATCGGTGATGGGAGGGGGCCCTGACCAGTGTGGCCCGATGGGTGCTGACCTGAGTCATTATGCAGGTGCAGTGGGAGGCTCTGCGTTCCCCTTCTAGGGAGAAGGCAGCCTGCACCTTGCTGTCAGCCTCTGACCCAGCCCCGTGTATGGTCTGCTGCCCTCCAGGTCAACAAGCTGAAGAGAGAGATGGTTCACCTCCAGCACGAGCTGCAGTTCAAAGAGCGTGGCTTTCAGACCCTGAAGAAGTAAGTGCACCCTGCGTCGCAGAGCATGGGGGCTGCTCCCCACCCAGCCTCCCCTCCTGCCCTCTCTGTCTCTCCTTCAGTCTTTTTCCTCTCTTCTCAAAATGTGGCTCTCTCATCATTCGAGTTCTATTCCACCGGCATTTCCTGAAGATACCGCCACCCAAGAGTGGGGTTTGGAAAGAGGAAAGGGGAGTCATTTCAGACCACAGAACTCTCATTGTTCTGTGGACTTCTGAAGCCATTAAGATCTGTTCCACTCAGCTGAGTGTTACTATCCAGTCACAGAAACAAGCATTGCCGAGCATTTCTGTGCACACGCCTCATCTCTAGTCGATCCAGTAGGGTCCCATATGCACGCAAACAAAACACACTCCTTTCATCCACATCCCCTAAAAGCACTCACTAAGTGCTTCATTGAAGGAATAATGATCTCTTCTAGCAAAAACCAATTACCAGAAAAGTATGCACGATGCCATGTACATTGTGCTCTATGGGTGACTTAAGGAGTTTCCAGGATAACGTTCACCAAATGTAATTTTCACCTTTAGAAGCTGAGCTGTGGCCAGGTAAAATACAGCTCTGTTGTGTCGTCGTCTTCTTTTTTTTTTTTTTTAACTTTTATTTTAACTTCAGGGGTACATGTGCAGGTTCGTTATACAGGTAAACTTGTGTCATGGGGGTTGGTTGTACAGATTATTTCATCATCCAGGTATTAAGCCTAGTACCCATTAGTTATTTTTCCTGATCCTCTCCCTTCTCTCACCCTCCACCCTCCCAGAGGCCTCAGTCTGTGTTTTTCCCCTCTATGTGTCCATGTATTCTCATCATTTAGCTCCCACTTACAAGTGAGAACATGCGGTAGCTTTGTTGTTTCTTTTTTTGTTTTTGTTTTTTTTTGAGATGGAGTCTCACGCTGTCGCCCAGATGGAGTCTCACGCTGTTGCCCAGGCTGGAGTGCAGTGGTGCGATCTCAGTTCACTGCAAGCTCCGCCTCCTGGGTTCACACCATTCTCCTGCCTCAGCCTCCTGAGTAGCTGGTACTGCAGGCGCCCACCACCACACCCAGCTAATTTTTTTGTATTTTAGTGGAGATGGGGTTTCACCGTGTTAGCCAGGATGGTCTCGATTTCCTGACCTCGTGATTCGCCCACCTCGGCCTCCCAAAGTGCTGGGATTACAGGCATGAGCCCCACTGTGCCTGGCACTTTGTTGTTTCTTAAGAGTAGGTGTGGCCGGGCGTGGTGGCTCACACCTGTAATCCCAGCACTTTGGGAGGCTGAGGTGGGTGAATCACAAGGTGAGGAGTTCGAGGCCAGCCAGGCCAAGATGGTGAAACCCCGTCTCTACTAAAAATACAAAAATTAGCCAGGCACAGTGGCAGGTGCCTGTAATCCCAGCTACTCAGGAGGCTGAGGCAGGAGAATCGCTTGAACCAGGGAGGCAGAGCTTGCAGTGATCTGAGAATGTGCCACTGCACTCTAGCCTGGGCAACAGAGCAAGACTCCATCTCAAAAAAAAGAAAAAAAAGAGTAGTTGTGTTACCTGTCCTGATGTGACTATACTAGCTAGCTTTGTCAAGCAGTTACTCTGTGCCAGAGAACCCCTGCAGTGTTTCCATGCAAGTGTGCTCCTTTGATCCTACAGCAACACTATAAGGAATGCTTTGTTATCTAACTACCCACATTCTATAGATGAGAAAACTGAGTCATTTAGCAGGTACTCAAGAAAGCTTATTGTGGCTGGGCACGGTGGCTCAGGCCTATAATCCCAGCACTTTGGGAGGCCAAGGTGAGAGGATCGCTTGAGCCTGTGAGTTGGAGGTTGCAGTGAACTGATTACACCACTGCACACCAGTCTGAGTGGCAAAGTGAGACCCTGTCTCGAAAGAATGAAAGAGAGAGAGAGAGAAGAGGAGGGGAGGGGAGAGGAGAAGAGGGGAGGGAGGAAGTAAGAAAGGAAAGAAGGGAAGGAAGAAGGGAGGGAGGAAGGAAGGAAGGAAAGGAAAAAGAAAGAACGAGAGAGAAAGAAAAAGCCCTCCAGTCTGGGTGACAAAGTAAGACCCTCTCTCCAAAGAAAGAAAGAAAAAAAGAAAGGAAGGAGAGAGAAAGAAAGAGAAGGGGAGGGAGAGAGAGAGAGAGAGAGAGAGAAAGAAAGCCCTGCAGTCTGGAGACAAAGTGAGACCCTGTCTCGAAGAAAAGGAAAAAAAGGAAGAGAAGAAAGAGAGAGAGAGGGAGAGAAAGAAATTAAGAAAGGGAGAGAGAAAGATGTTAGCTTATTGTTATTATTAACTACAGCATGTAACTGAGACTCATTCATTGAATTGTGTTCAGTGTATCCAGTGGGCTCACTGTACAATCATTACGAAGGTCACCTGGTAGCCCTCTCAGAAGCTCTAGGCAGGACACTCAGCAGATTTCTGCCTTCCCAGGGGGCATCTCACTTACATTCCCAGGGAAGCCACACCTGCATGGATGGCTAGTTCTTGCTTTTTGTCTCTCCCTGACTACTATACCTTTTCCTCATTCCATGAATTTCAAATCTACCCTCATCATTCTGTGGCCATAGCCCCAAGCCTTTGGATGTCTATACACATGCTATAAGAAATATGTATATGGCTTCTTATTATGACAAATTGTCTGTAATTTTTGTGTCTTACAAAGTATGGCTTTCTGTATGTTTACATCTTTGTTATATACATGTTATTCATATATGTGTATATACATATACCAATCTTGTCTCTCAAACCAGATTCTGAATTGTTAAGACCTGGAACCATGCTTTATGCTTCTTGGTAATCTTCAGTAGCACCAATGACAGTTTGGAGCAATAGTTATAAGCTTAGAAAATGCCTATTTTTGACCTATTAAAGCAATAGCCTGATTCCTCCACTTTGCAGCAAAACAGCTTCTGAGCACACAGTTTAAGGGCTACTCACTCCCGTCATCTTACTGAATGGGTTCTCCCTGCCTCCTGGCTCCTGCAGTCCTCAAGAGCTTCTGGTTAGAACACTTCCCATTATTCTCTGAGCCACCGCAAACCTGTTTTACCACTTTGTCACCCTGTAGCAGCATTGAAAACTCTTGTTGTTTGGTAAGCTGATGCTGAAACCCCAAAGACAAGCCTCCTTTCTTCCCCTCTCCATCTGCCCCATGTTTGATATCAGGCCCAGATAAGACTGCATGGCAGCTCCAGCCGCCCACACTCCTTAGCCGGAAGCCGGGCTCTTCGTCCAGTGTGGAGGAAGATGCCTCCTTTAATGTACACCTTGGCAGAGAGAGTCAGGAATGTAGTCTTGAGAGGCAGGTGGTCAGGGTTCGAATCCCAGTTCCCTGGGTCCTTGGAAAAGTGACTTAACCCCTGTGAGCTTTGAGTTCATTTGAAAAACTAGAGGTTGTAAAGATTGAATTGGAAAATCCGTGTCAAGTGTGTGGTAGTGTCTGGCATGAGGGAAGAGCTCCTTGAGAGTGGACTGGGGTGGTGACCTCTAGCTGGTTGCCTGCTTGTATTGGGAAGGGAACTCGGATGAACTCTACGTCTACCCTGGGCTAGACGGTGTGCCAGGGAAGCACTTCACACCAGCCACCTCATTTCATTCTCTTCACCCCCTTTTAAGAGAAGTTTCTGTCCTGCCATATATTACAGATGGGGGCACTGGCAGGGTTGAAAACATGCCCAGAGCCACCCAGCTTGCAGGTGTCAGGGCTAGGGCTGAAACCCAGGACTACTGGATTTTGAAGTTCATGTCTCAATACCTCTCTTCCCAGCATCATCCCAGATAACTCCCTCCTCATTCCCAGAAAATGTAAGGCCTCTTTTTCAGAGTCTAACGGATGCTATCCAGTCACTTCTACTTCTGTGCCTACTCTTATGGCAGAACATGGGGAAAGGTACAACTTATCCTTAAGGAATTTCCAGGATAACTTTAACCACATGTAATTTCCCCTTTTAGAAAATTTCTCTTTAGCAGCCAAAAGCTCTGTTGTTTCTTTCTTTTTAGACGGAGTCTCACTCTGTCACCCAGGCTGGAGTGCAGGGGCACGATCTCGGTTCACTGCAACCTCCACCTCCCAGGTCCAAGCGATTATCCTGCCTCAGCCTCCTGACTAGCTGGGACTACAGGCACATGCCACTATGCCTGGCTAATTTTTTATATTTTTAGTGGAGATGGGGTTTCACCATGTTAGCCAGGATGGTCTCAATCTCCTGACCTTGTGATCTGCCGACCTAGGCCTCCCGAAGTGCTGGGATTACAGGCGTGAGCCACCATGCCCGGCCAGCTGTTGTTTTTTAAGAGCAGCTATGTCACCTGTCATGATTGTGATGATACCAGTTAAGCTTCCTTGGGCAGTTGAGTTACTCTGGGCCACGAATCCATATTGGTTCAATTCATAGTCAGCAACCTGTTTAAAAAAGAGAGAAGGGAAAAGGTTGATGAGGATTAAAAGTTGCCTCTTGGAGGAGGTTGCAAAGAAAAATCAAGATGAAAGCTTGGGACTTTGACTTGCCAGCTCCCTTTCTAATAGGGAAGAGTGGAGACCAGGCATCTCCCCCTATGGGAGGAGGGCAGTGCAGCGCCTCGCCCTGCCGTGCCCAGGTAGAAGGTGTCTGGACAGGACCAGGAGTCAGCTGCTGTCAGCCTTTGCCTCACCTCTCTGTGGCTACCGGGTGTGTGAATCTCTAAAGGCCTGAAGAGAAGACAGCTGAGGGATTTGGAAATCCTAAAACACATGCATCCCCACAAGCTGAGGATTTGGGAAATCCCAAAACACATGCATCCCCACATACACACACACACACACACACACACACACACACACACACACACACACACACACTTTTCTTTCCCTTAAAAAAAAAAAAAAAAGATTCATTCACTGAGTGTATAATGGTGACCCTTTGTTCTCCCCCCACCCCCTCCCCACCCAGCTTCATCCCAAGAGTGTTCCCTCTCAGAGCTGCTCTCTGGAGCCAAATTCCAGAGGCCAGGTTGCTAAGGCCCTTGAAGAAATCAGGTAGAGGCTGTCGGAAGCCCAGCAGACAAACCACTTCTGTCTCATCCTGCCAGGGATTCGAAGCCATTCTCGCCCTGTTGACAGAGGACAGCTGGGCACAGCCCCCTCCCCAGAGTCCCCAGCCCTCGGACATGCTCCAACAAACACTGTCTCCCTGCACCTCCTGTGCCCATCTGCAGCAGGGCCACTGCCTGTCCCAGACACTGGCTCTGGGGAGCCTCCTTGCCACAGAACATCTTCTAAGCTCCCTCAGACTAATTTTTCAGACTAAATCTGGGGCCAGTCCTTGCCGACCTGATAGGCCTGCCCAGGCCCAAGTCCTGGAAAGGAATAGACGGGCTATTTTTAGTGGGGAGACATAAACGGGGCTTTGTTTTCTCTCCATGGAGGCTGAAGTAACTGCAGAGGGAGGCTGTGTTGAGACCTCGCTCCATGCCTGCTCTCTCCTCTGCTCAGAGGCGCAGACGATGAGGCCAGGGTGAAAACCTGCTCGTGCTCAGGATTCCCCATGAGGGTTATTTTTAGCCCAGGACAGTTTGGCCTGTAGCAGAAAACCACAAAGGAATGCCTGTGAGCAGTTTCTCATGCTGAAATAATGAGTTTGTGGTGTTCCCGCAGACTGTAAAACTCCTTTTTCTCCACCTTGGACTGAAACCTCAGGCCTAGCCTTTGGCGAAAGTGTGATGTAGTTAAAATGCATCTGTGCCCCCAGAACCTTTTTGACACCTGGGCCCTCCTTCTCCAGAAGCTCACCCCTGCCTGTCTGTTTTGGTCTGAACTTCAGAAAACTACATCAGGATCCCCCCCGCTTTTTTTTTTAATATTTCCCCCATCAAAATGAACCTGTATGTAAGGCCTGGATAAGCCAATAAGCTCTCCAGGCTAGAAGCGTTTTAATCCCTTATGTTTGTACAGTAATTCCTAGTTTATCACAAGATGTTCCATCCCATATTCCATTTGATGTTCCTGACAACTCCATGAATGTGGGTTAGGCAGATAACGTTTTCCAGGCTTTTTAGAGGAGGAAACTGAGGCTCTGTGTATTTGAGAGACGACGCCAGGATCATCCCACTAATGGGTAGTAGGGCTGGGAGTTTTTCATCCTTCTGTCCTTTTCTTCATTGTGTTCATTAGCTCTACACATGCTTATTAAAGACAGTGGTTCTTGACCAGCATGATTTTGCTCCCTCTCTCTCAACAGACATTAGGTAATCCTTGGAGATATTTTCAGTTGTCACCATTCAGGGTGAGGGTACCAACAGCATCCTGTGGGGCGAGGCCAGGGAGGCTGCTAAACATCATACAATGCACAGGACAGCCTGCCCTCCCTCCAAAAAAGAATGAGACAAACATGTTCAACTCTGCCTCCTGTTCCCAAGCCTCCCAGAGTCAAGTCAAAGATGCTACCACATAAACTATAATACATCAACTGTCACACAATGTAACGACTGCAGAGTCACAGCTATGTGTGATGTATATGGGAAGCCCCTACCCAGCCTGGAGGACCCAGGGACGTAATCAGGAAAGGTTTCCCGTAAGAGCTGATGTTTAGAGGACACTGACTTCACGAGCAATGTTGCTTCTGCACCCCCACACATTGGCTGTGTAACCGGAATCTTCTCTGCCTTTTTTTTTTTTTTTTCCTTTTCTTTCTTTCTTTTTTTTGAGACAGAGTCTTACTCTGTCTCCCAGGCTGGAGTGCAGTGGCGTGATCTCGGCTCACTGTAACCTCTGCCTCCCGCATTCAGGCAATTCTCATGCCTCAGCCTCTCAAGCAGCTGGAATTACAGGCACATGCCACCATGCCCAGCTAATTTTTGTACTTTTAGGAGAGACGGGGTTTCACCATGTTCCTCAGGTTAGTCTTGAACTCCTGACCTCAAGTGATCCACCTGCCTTGGCCTCCCAAAGTGTTGGGATTATAGGTGTGAGCCACCATGCCCAGCCCAGGACCTTCTGTGCCTTATCCCACAAGTGGGACCTACGGAGGCAAGATTAGCAGGACAGAGGGAGGGGCCTTCTTAAGGAACTGAAGTCCTGTGGTCTGTGCTTTTCGCCTGGGGAGACCCTGTCCCTCACCCTATCTAAGGCTGACCTTTCCCATTAACTGTCTCCTAGAATCGATAAGAAAATGTCTGATGCTCAGGGCAGCTACAAACTGGATGAAGCTCAGGCTGTCTTGAGAGAAACAAAAGCCATCAAAAAGGCTATTACCTGTGGGGAAAAGGAAAAGCAAGATCTCATTAAGGTATGCAAGTTCCTGTTGATGTGGGTGCCATCTTGATTTCTCCTGAGTATTCCTGTATGCCAGTCTTACGCGGACTATTTCTACATGGTACACACATTGCTGAGTTCTCATGACCAGTCTTCCTGGGGTTTTGGTTCCATTTCATAGAGGAGGACGTGGAGGCTCAGAAGCATTAAGTGACTTGCATAAGGTCACACAGCTAGTGTAAATGGCAGACGTGGAATGGAATTCATCTGGCCTAGTCCAAAGGCCACATCCTTGCCACTAGCTTTAATTACCTGACTTATTTTTTCTTTGTTTTTTAAACTTTTATTTTTTAATAGAGGGAGTCTTGCTATGTGTCTCAGGCTGGTCTTGGTAGCTGCTGGGCTCAAGTGATTCTCCCACCTTAGCCTCCCAAAGTGCTGGGATTACAGGCGTGACCCAGTGCACCTGGCCTCTGACTTATTTTTCAAAGAATCCAATGGAGAGAGGTGGTTTCAACATCATTAACCTTTGACATCAAAATGTAGCATCTCTATAAGCATTTCATTGTGTGTTCTGCCTCTATGCTGGGAACTGAACAAATTATAATAGATATTATGTAATATGCCAGGTGATTATGCCAAGCCTTTTGCATGCGTCATGTCTCATCTCTTAAATCAACCCTAGTTTATCCCCATCCTACAGAAAAAGGACTGTACAACTCAGAGAGGAAGGTAGAGCCGTGATTCAAACCTGTGAACCCCTGACTCTCAGACCCATTCTCTTACCCCCTGTACATATCACCTCCGCTTCCAGGAACCACCCTGACCTCAGATATTTCACTGGCAGATTAGGAGTCCTCAGAGATGCTGTAAATGACTTAGTGGAGGAAGCTGTATGCTCTATGACAAACAGAACAGTTTTGAAGCTCCCGCCCAGGACGGCAGCCCAGTGAAAACATTTAGATGAGGAACTCATGGACAGTGAGGCGTGTTCCTGTTCTGATTAGTGGTTGAGATCGCAGAGCCTTAAGCCAGATAGACCAGGTCCAAATCTTGCCTTGGTCAATTGCCAACTTCTCATCAATAAACTGGGGATAATCATAGGTCATTCTTTGCATGACTATTGTCAGGATTCAGTGAGACTCTGGTAAAGCTGACAGTTGTTGAGTATGGGCTGTATTCACTTGTCATCTCATTTAATCTCATTTAATCAAGATGATTGCCCTGTGAGATAGGACCTGTGATTCTTCCCCCCACGCCCCCGCTTTTTTTTTTTTTAAGAACCCAGGGTCTCGCTCTATTGCCCAGGCTGGAGTGCGGTGACACAGTCATAGCTCACTGCAGCGTCGAACTCCTGGGCTCAAGCAATCCTCCCACCTCAGCCTCCCGAGTAGTTGGAACTACAGACATGCACCGCCACACCCAGCAATTCTTTTATTTTTTCGGAGATGGGGGTCCCGTTATGTTGCCCAGGCTGATCTTGAATTCCTGGCCTCAAGTGATCCTCCCACCTTGGCCTCTGAAAGCACTGGGATTACAGGCATGAGCACCCAGCCAATTATTCTCATTTTACAGGAGAGGAAATCGAGGCAAAGAGAGGTTATTCAGCTAGGTGAAGTCACACAGCTGGGAAGCAGTAGAGCGGGGGTTCCAACTAGGGCAGTGTGGCTCCAGAGTCGGCATCCACACTGGTTTCTCCTATGTCATAGGCCCAGCACAGAGCCTGGCACACAGCAAGGACCCACTCAATGCTAGCTGTCTATCACAGGATCAGTAGGATGTCTGGGGAGGGCATGGGTTCCTAAATTAAGGGAGGGTAGAGAAGGAAGCACGGGGAGCGTGGCAGACCTAGAGCTCCCTCCTGGGAAGGTGCATCACTAACCCTGCTCTCCCTTCCTTCAGAGCCTTGCCATGTTGAAGGACGGCTTCCGCACCGACAGGGGGTCTCACTCAGACCTGTGGTCCAGCAGCAGCTCTCTGGAGAGTTCGAGTTTCCCGCTGCCGAAACAGTACCTGGACGTGAGCTCCCAGACAGACATCTCGGGAAGTGTGAGTAGACAGGGCAGGATGCTGGGGGCCTTCCACAGGATGGCAGCTGGGAGGCTGCTGTAGTGGGCAGCTGCCTTCTCATGGCTCACCAGGGAGCTGGCCAGGGGCTCTCCGCGGGGCTGGCTGCTGCCTCAGCCCTCTGGAGCTCTGTTCTCTTACAGACCTCCTGGCCCCAGGAGGATATGATGTGATGCCGTGGAGGAAAAGCCTGCAGTGACGAACACCATGGCCCTTAATATTGTCTCTTAATGCTGCACAGAAAGCATGTTTAAAGGACAAAATGTCTTTCTCTGTGTTCTGTTTTGGTTTGGTTTTTTTCATACTATTTTGTAGTTCCGTTTCCATTTTTCTTTCCCCAGCTGGACAGCAGAGGACATTTTCCTCCTGTTAGTCTCAAAACAATGCATGCAGCTTTCAGGCAGCTGCTTGACTCCCAGTTCCTAAGCTCAGTCCAGTCCTAGTTATGACTAGTGAAAGCGCTGTCCAGATGTGGCTCAGGAAAAGGTTAGAGTAGGGCTGACCCACGGTGCCTCGTAACTTTTGGAGAGCTTTTGTTTTACTAGAGCCAGCAACATTGAACGAATCCGCCTTCCAGCCTCTGTGGCAAACAGCCCCTAAATGCTGTTCCTGAGTTCCATAGCTGTCTTCCCACTTGTCCAAGGGTGACCGGTGAGCCTTGTAGCCTCTTGCTGCTCTTTAACAGACTAGCACAGCAAAAGAGGCTGTCCCTTCCTTCCCCACACCACCATGTGTCCAGCTACTAGCTATCTGCAGGCCAAAGTATTTGCAAAGGAACTGTACCCCTCTTTGTGAGTGCTGGGGTCTTCTCCCCACCTACGCAGTGTTTCACTCCTGACTGCAGCCTCTCTGAGTTTTCTATGGATCCCCTCCCCAGTGCCCCCAGAATGGCTTTCTTGATATTGGCTATCCCTGTTTCCTCCTCACCAACTGTCCTCCACGCTTCTGTGGCTTGAATTGGCACCAAGCCAAGCCATTTGGGGCTGCAAGATGATATTCTGGGCCTTTGGCTTCTGTTTTCAAAGTGATCGATGTCTGAGTGTACGGCTCTTCCCGTGGCCTGAAGGGAGGAAAGTGTTTTTGCTTCACCAGCTTCCCTGCGATCTGCACCGCCAGCCCCATCAGCGGGGGCTATTCTTGGCTACTGCCCACTCAAGCTGCCAAGTCTCTCATGAGCCCTTGAAACCCAACTCAGCACCGGCCACAACAGCCACATAATTCCTGACTTCGTTCTTCTCCTCCAGTTCAGCATCAACAGCAACAATCAGTTGGCAGAGAAGGTCAGATTGCGCCTTCGATATGAAGAGGCCAAAAGAAGGTAATGGGGCTGGGGCTAGGGGCAGGATGGTTCAAAAATAATAACTACTATTGTAGAATGCCTGCTGTGTGCTTGGCTCTTCATACACTTCGTCGTCTTTAATCCTCACAAAGATTATGAAGATAGTTATTATCGTCTTTATATTTTCATCCTCTCTGAAATTCAGAGAGGAAATGACTCACCCAGGACACTTCACAAGATAGAGAGTGAAACTATGCTTTGAACCCAGATCTGTTTAATCTCAAAGCTGAGTTATCTTCCCACTTGCCTGTCTTGATTTCTGTAACCGAGGCTTTCCCATGATCCTGTAAGCATTTTGGTTTGAAGGAGCACAACTGGAGTTTCAGCAACAGGCTAAAAAGATTGTGGACACTACCCGCTTCAGTGTCTCCTGCACAGCTGGGAGCAAGCTGGGCTTTTAAGCAGTATAGACCTCTGGGATTTAGATGTTTTGTGGCTTCACAGAATCCTAAGCAGTCGGGTTCCACTACCACAAATAAAATCAAAATAATAATCAAAGCTGACATTTTTAAAGCATCTGTTACAGGCCTAAACAAATTTTTTTTTTTAATTACTTTGTTTTCTTTTTTAGAGACAGGGTCTCACTATGTTACTCAGGCTGGTCTTGAACTCCTGGCCTTAATCGATCCTCCCACCTCAGCCTCCTGAGTGGCTGGGATTACAGGCATGCACCATTACACTTGGCTGAGATTGTTTATTGTACTAAAACATTTGTGCATGCATCTTCTCATTTAATTTTAAAAGCAACCTTATAGCAGAGGATCTCTCTTATTATCTCCATGTTAGACAGGAAAAAGGTAAGACCAAGATATTTCATGACTATTCCAGATGGTAGAGGCAGAATTTGAACCCTGGACAATCGGGCTTCAAGTTCATGATCTTTCTGTACTCTGAGCCAGCGTTACTGGCAAAGAATGCCCTGGGCATTGTGGTGTGGATGGAAGCCAGGCACATTGCATCCATTCCTTCCTAGACTAAGTTGTCTGGCCTGTGGACCTTCTCAGCCAGGCCAGGTGAAGTATGGCAGTGCCCAGCTCTGCCCCTCTGCCAACTCTGTGTGAATAGTAGAACTCTTTGCGGAAACGACAGAAATCTGATAGAAACCAGAGAAAGCAAAAAAGGGAATGTATTGTCTTATTTAACTCCAAAGTCCTAAGATACCTACCTTCAGGCACAGCTGGATCCAGGGACTCGGATGATGTTACACAGACACAGTCTCTCTCCCTTTCTTCACCCTGCTTGCCTTTATGTTGGCTTTACTCTACAGCAGACTTTCCTGTCAAAGTGACAAGGCAACTCCCAGCAATTTGGAGCTTACACACTACCAGGTTAGCAATCCCTGCAGAAAGGGGGCCTACCTTTCCCAATAGTTTTAACCAGCCTTGGGTTTGAGACTCCCTGCCTTTTTTGGGTGAACCAAGCATTGTTACAGGGCAGCTAAGGGTGGGCAAAATTAGAATTCTCTAAAGATCTAGGCATGCGTCATGTTTCCGGTGCTGTGAAGGGTCGGCGGTATGGGAACCAGGTGACTTGAAAGTACGAAAGGAGTGGTTTCCCAAAGACAAATTGGAATATTATTAACAAAAGAAGAACGAATTGAATACTGGTCAGGTAGAAAGAAACAGATGTCCTATGTACTATTTCAGCTCCCCCAGGGGTCCAGCAAAACAGCAAGACCTCTGTATTTGGACAGCCACTTCTTGTCCTCTCTGAAGGGGACCACTCTGAACCTTGGATCTGTTCCATCCTGCAGGAATGCCTATCTTAGATGGTCAGTCCTAGAGACACTAAAGGACTGCAGTGTTCCCTCTGGAGTTGAGCCGTTAGACTTCTCATCACAGAGCTTCCTAGCTCATCTGACTTTATCCAGCCTCTTGCTTCCCCCTTCCGCCGAAGCTCATTTTAGTGTAAAGGACAGAGCAGCCTGCTCAATGGGAAAGCAAGCTGCAGGACTTGAAAGAGGGGAAGGGAGGTGTCAGTAATGCAAGGAGGGTCTGATCATTGGATGTCAAGTTTTGTCACACATGCGTTTCTGAGAAGAGAGACTAGTTGTTTTTATCAGATTCTTAAAGGGATGTGGCCCGAAATTTAAGGAGCATTGGCATAGGGAAAGAGAAAGTACATCCAATGAAGCATCAGTCACTTCCCAATGTCCTGCGTATGGGGAAGCCTCTGCCAGGCCTTACCATACCATTTCATTCTCAAAGTACTGGAGAACAGCAGCTACAAAATTGTCTCAAAGCCAATCTTGATAGATTACTGTATACATGAATATAAATTTAAATAACTAACTACAGTCAGTCCTCCTTACCCATGGGGATTCAACCAAGGATCAAAAATATCCAGGAAAAAAAAAATTAAAAATAATGCAAAATTTTAAATATAGTGTAACAACTATTTATATAGCATTTACATTGTGTTAGGAATTATAAGTAATCTAGAGATGATTTAAAGTATACAGGAGGATGTACATAGGTTATATGCAAACACTGTGCCATTTTCTATAAAGCACTTGAGCATCCATGGATTTGGTATCTGGGGTAGGTCCTGGAACAAATCCCCTGCAGATATCAAGGGTCACGTGTATAGGAATTCCTCCTGGGATACTTGGCTGGGGAACAAGCAAATCTAGCTAGATTTCTCTACGTGGAATTTTTGCTACACATCATGGTGAATTTTGTCCCCAGCAGTGTTCGATAAAGTAAGAAATGGGCCACATTGTCTGCAGGTAAGATGAACTGGGAGTTCAGAGTCCTCTGGTCTCAACAAGTATTGGCCACGTTTATGATTTGCAGTCTTAGGTGCATCATATCCTCCCTGGGCATCTGTCCAACCAGGTGAACAAACTCCTATCTTACCCTTTAGGGGTGGGGTGGCCAGGGCATGAGAGCTGATGGTACTTTGCAGAGGCCAAGTCCTAAAGGATGATGTCATGATTGTTGTTAGCTATTTGTAGCAGTATTCGTTGTTATACTGTGAATCTTATTTTGACTCAATGATGATAATACCGAAGGTCTATATAACACCTGGCAATGTATAAAGGGCTCTTAATGCTATGTTCTCACATAACCCACCCTATAGGTAGCATATCATCTCTGCCTTAGAGATGAGGATACTGAGTTTTAGAGCAGTTAAGGGATAAGGCTGCCAGCTCTTTCCTTTTACTGTTATTTAGTGCCTGCAGTATACCAGTCACTGTGCTAGAAGCTTGTGATACCAAAATGATTTCTTGAGAAATGGTCCCTTCCATCAGGAAGGCCAGAGCGAGCCAGGACTCCAACTCTAGGCCTTTGACCCCAAATCCACGGTTGTTCACACAGTGCCACTACCTCTCTCTGACTTGAGAATACGTGGTCAGTAGTTGTAGTCTTAGTGGTCCAGAACTGCCAGTGACTCAGTACTTGCTATGTGCCAGACACCCTTCCCAATCATTCTGATGAATGAGTTTTTCTTATCTTTAAGGCCTAGGGAATTGGCCCAATGTTACGTACCTAATAAGTGATCATGCCAGGTCATAACAACAGTAGCGAGGACTTACTATATGCCAAGTACAGTGCTTTGCAGGTTACAGATTATATCATAAAACCTTCAACCAAAATGGCATGAGGAAAAGGCTTTTGTTATTCCCTTCAGAGAGCTGAGCAACTTGCCCAAGACCACACAGCCAGTGGTAAGAGGTTAGTGCCTGGTGATGAATTCACATCTCTATTGTACCAGGAACAGGGCAAGGGCATTGCCTTGTTCGCGTCTGCACCCCATCCCTGCAGAGCCTAATTCCTTGTTGGCATATGGTAGGCACCCACATGTGTTTGTTTAGAAAAAAAATAGGTTCCTTGAGACGACATGCTGATCAAAGGAAGACAGTAACTGTCAAAGATTGCTCTGAGATGTCTGTTTCTTCATGGCATCTCCTGTTCCCGCAGTGCCATTAGGCACACCAGTCATGCTTGCTTTCTTGGCCCCCAGGATCGCCAACCTGAAGATCCAGCTGGCCAAGCTTGACAGTGAGGCCTGGCCTGGGGTGCTGGACTCAGAGAGGGACCGGCTGATCCTCATCAATGAGAAAGAGGAGCTGCTGAAGGAGATGCGCTTCATCAGCCCCCGCAAGTGGACGCAGGGGGAGGTGGAGCAGCTGGAGATGGCCCGGAAGCGGCTGGAAAAGGACCTGCAAGCAGCCCGGGACACCCAGAGCAAGGCGCTGACGGAGAGGTGGGACTGGGGTCCCAGGGTGTGTAGGACCTTCTCTCACTGGCAGTCTGTCCTCAGCCCCCAGATGGCGGAAGGATGAGGGGGCTCCAGGCCCCTGGGCTTCACCCTGAGCATGCTCAGTTCAGAGATCTCTCAGATTGCCTACATAGGAAATCAGGAAAGATGATTCGCCATCCAGTGCACCAGCTACCCTGGTACTTTGCATGGTGAACCATGCTACCAAAAAGTCTGCTTAGGTGCAGGTATTCAAAAATGTATCTTCTGACTCAATTAAGCCACATAACTCTATATAATTTAAAGCAGTCATTTTCCAATTTCTTGACAGTGATGCACATTTTATACTGTGACCTGACACAAGGTTCACAAAATAGTGCATGCTCTTTCTACCTGTGATGGTCCTCTGATGTTTTCTCTCTTCTACCTGTGATGGTCCTCTGATGTTTTCTGTCTTCTACCTGTGATGGTCCTCTGATGTTTTCTCTCTTCTATTGCATTTTGTTTCGTGCAGTTCATGACTCACCAAATTGATTTCACCCCATGCTAAGTAAGGGGTTGCAGTTTGCAGTTTGAAAAACACTGGTCTGGGTGGGGGTTGCAAACTGGCATGCTTATAGGAGCCAAGCAGGTCACAGAAATGCTGGAGACCCACCTGGCAGTGGTCTGTGTCAGACCAGAGTGCACAGACCCCACTGGTCTCGAGCAGGTGCTGTCTGTCTGCTGCAGCAAATGGGAGTACAGGCCTTGGGCTGCCAGAGCTGCCTGTACTTCAAACAAAAGAGTCGTTTGGATTTTTTATTTTTAAATATTGGGAACTAATCCAGAAGTTTTTTTCAAAAAATGCAAATCAGCCTCATCTGTAGGCCTGATATAACCTAAAAGCCACTGGTTTATATTCTCTAATTTAGACCTTATCATAGACATTGTCTTTGTTTATTTCCTTCAGTGTTCCCACCAACCTCCACACCCACACTGCACCGAATGCAACACTGTGCTCACCATAGGCTTTACGCTCTCCAGCTTCAAGTTCATTCATTCATTCTGTTCATCAGCCAATGTTTACTCATTCATTTGAGAAACGCTTTGCTGCACGGATTGTGTGTGCAAGGCAATTTGGGGGATTCAGAAATTAACAAGACATGGTCCCTGCCCCATGACCTTTAAATCTATTATACTTATTTTCACCATGTTTTTCGCAGGAGCCTTTATTCAGCAAGGTCCCTGCCCCTAAGGAGCTTAGAAGTGAAGCTGGTGATTTTCAAGTGTGTGTGTGTGGTGTGTGTTTGGAATATGAGCAAGGGAATTCCTTTTTCTAGTGAAATCAGAGGAAGAAGCCCAGCTTATGAAGCAAGTAAACGTGCCTAGTGCCTCAGTTGAAGCAGTTGGGAGTCCTAGAGATGCCTGTCTGTGCTCACTCTGTCACCCCACCATGGGTCTTCCAGGGAGCCTTCGAGCTCTAAGGCGCCCAGCCTGCAGTACCATCCTAGCAATTGAGTGAGCCCCAGTTGCACATGGCATGGTGCCAGGTGGATCAGGTTCACCAAGTTCTCGCCTAGCTTCCCATGGCTTCAGAGACTCTCTTGACTCGTTGATGGCGGGAATCTCTCCCCACTAGTTGCTTAGTCAGAACTGCTAGCAGTAATGTCCAAAGTGTATCCATTTCCTCTCTTCCGTTCTTCATTGGCAGCAGCAGCTGATTAGCCCTGACCCACCACCCGTTGGTGGGAGAAGGAGAAGGACAGAGCTTGAATAATTGGTGTTCTGCAGTCCTTGGAAGCACCTTGCTAGAAGTCTTCTTTAGCACCACGGCTCCATTATGCTTTCTCTGGGATTTTGTGCTTTGGGGATAAGGCCTGTGTCTGTATGCTCACATGCCTTTAGTGTTTGTTGAAAGAATAAATGGTTAGCTGGCCTAGGCAGATCCTTACTAGGCCTCTGTGTATATATCCTGGTCTTTATACCCATTCCCTGGGTTGCTCACTTGCTCCCAGACCCTATAACTGCCACTGGGAAGCCCTTAGCTATTCATAGTCCCCACAGCCAGCAGCTGAAGAGAATAGACTCATGGCAGCTTCACTCCTTGTTAGGTCAAAAGGAACACGCTTCTCACTTGCTGATCTTGAGCAAGTCATTGACCAATTTGGGTTTCACTTGCCTAATAGGGAAAAAACAGGATACATTAAGTCCTCACTTAACATTTGTTAGTAGGTTCTTGGAAAACTGTGACTTTAAGCAAAACTACATACAATGAAACCAATTTTTTTCCATCAACTTTATGTTTTATTTCTATTTTTTTTGAGATGGAGTCTTGCCCTGTCATCCAGGCTGGAGTGCAGTGGCACAATCTCGGCTTACTGCAACTTCTGCCTTCCGAGTTCAAGCAATTCTCCTGCCTCAGCCTCCCGAGTAGCTGGGATTACAAATGCACGCCACCACACCCAGCTAATTTTTGTATTTTAGTAGAAATGGGGTTTCACCATGCTGGACAGGCTGGTCTCAAACTCCTGACCTCAGGTGATCTACCTACCTCGGCCTCCCAAAGTACTGAGATTACAGGCGTGACCCACTGCAGCCAACTCCATCAACTTTATTAAAAAATGGCATTCTTTGATAACATGATGTACATCATTTTACTTAAAGTTGCAGTTAGCAAGAACTTATCTACAATGTTGAGGATTTACTGTAATTACATTAAATACATATATGGTCTGAAGGCAGACAGTTAGACCAGGCTCTTCCCTTCTGTAAAATTGTTGGTTTCTTGAAACTCGAATTGGAGGCTCTTAGGAACCCCTAAGATATACCACATGTAGAAGCTCCCATCCTGTGCCAGGCGGTAGCCTATACAATCTCATTTAAACCTCCCAGGAACCCTGAGGTTCATCCCCGTTTTACAAATGAGGAAAGATGAGGCTCACCCGAGATCCCTAAGTGCCAGAGCTGGGATTAGAAGACCACAGGTTTGCTAGCCCCAGAGGCTGTGCTCACTTTAGGGTGCTTGCCACTCAGAAGGCCTTCTGTTATTGCCTTCAACCCCCTCTTTCAAAGGTCTGCTGGCTCCTCCGGAGCAGTGAGTTCACATAGCTAGTACAGGGAGGCCAGAACCTCCACTCCTCTGCAGCTACTCAGCAGGCAGCTCGGAGGGCCTGGTAGGAGAGTACTTGGGGCAAATGCAGTGGTAGGGAAGCTGGAGCGCATGCAGGCAGACAGCCACGTGTGCCCTAAGAGGAGTCTAAGGAGGAAGCCCATAGGAATGGGGTACCATGCTCATGGCTGTGGGTCTCCCACAGTGGGGAGATGGGAAAGCTGCCCCAGCTGTCTTTGTGTCTGCAGCTGTTTCCTTCCAGCTCCATGTCTGTCTGTCTGTGTTCATCCTTCTGACTCTGGTATTCTGTTTCCCTTCTCTCTTTGTTTCTCATGTGTGTGTATCTTTATTTTTAGTGTCTCTGTTTCTCTCTTTCTCCCCTCGCTCTTCTTTCTCTATTCTCTCTGTCTCTCTCAAAATGAGATTATTATGCTCCTCATCTTCACACGACAGCCTCGCATTCAAGGTGCCTTTGAGGACAGGAATAGACACATCCAGGAGAGGCTGACTGCAGGACCTGCCAAACCCCGCTCACAAATCAGTCAGACTCACAGGCATCCAAACAAACCTCATCCTACCCTCTGCCTCCGCCTCCTTCCCGAGGGCCTTCTCCACTGCTCCCCAGAGCTGGTGTGCAGTCATGCAGGATGCTCATTAGTGCACAGGCTCCCTGGGCCCACCCCAGGGACCGATTCTTCTGGCCTGAGATGCAGCCCAGGTTCTTACATTTTTAACCACCACCCAAGGTGCTGAGCTACAGCTTGTGGGGACTCCAGCCCCATCTTCTGGATCTTCTGCCTGCCTCCATGCTTGATGCATTCTTGGCCTCCCAGCGTGTGCCAGGCATCCCACACATGTGCCATCTATCCTGCAAAACCCAACGCCACTGGGAGGTGGCCTCGGCACCTGTGCATTGCTAGCAGTAGCTAGCCCCTAATGCCAGGATGTCATGGCAGCCCAACTCCCAGACCCCTCATCATCCTGTTGAGGCTTCATTGGGGACCCACATTTGCTCCCAGCACACACTTCTGTGGCTTTTATCCCACAGAGAAGAGGAAAACCAAGGTAAAAATGGTGAGCCCCAGCTGCTCCTTGATCCTGGACCTCAACTGTTCCTGAGCTTTCCTTTATACTGGGTCAAGAGATTCCACAGCCTTGTTCATTCTGTTGAAAGTCAAGGATTTTGTTCATTACGGGTTCTGTCTGTCACCCCACTGTGCACCCCCACCCCAGCCTCAGGCAGGACTCTAGAAGAACAGTGCCAGGGACTGAGCTGACCAAGAACCATGCCAAGGCCACTCTGCCTGCTGCTCCTGTTGTCTTTTCTGTAATTTCATAGATTCAGTTGCCCAGTAACAAGCCCGACCCACCCCTCAACACTTTTCCATGGTGTCTAGAGCAAGCTCTGGTCTTTACTGCAGGGCGTGTGCTGGGGGCTTGGGTGTGTGGGTAGAGGGATGGCATGACTTGGCTTTTCCATGGAAATGAGCCCTTTCTAGGTTCACTTCCCAGTCCAGGGACCAGCTAGTCAGTCATCCCCTCTTCAGCAGGTTGACATGAGGGGATGGAGGCCAACAGTGGTACACATCTGTCCATGGAATGTATAATAACATACAGGTGTTTCAGCAGAGCTCATAAACTCTGCCTGCTTCATCTGGAGAAAAAGTCATCCATTCAGCAAATATTGAGCCTGTCTACACGGTGGGCACTATACTAGGTGCTAGGTGCTGAGTGAGCAAGACAGAGCCTCTGCCTCTCTGCCGTCCCCCTGCAGTGTGGCAGCTTGCAAACCTTGGTGTGCCTAAAGATCACCTGGGAGGCTTAACGAAAAGAGAGATTTCTGGGCCCTACCCCTGGGCTTCTTGATTCAGCAGGTCAGAGTAGGGCCCAGCAATGTGCATTTCAATAAGCACTCCCCACTTTCTGATGCAGATAGTCTGTGGGCCGCAAGCTGAGAAAGACTAGTCTAGTAGACACACGAGAGCAGCCCACGTCATGAGTTTGCGAGGGCACGGGCTTATTTGATAGGGTCCTTTATTTTGTAGTGGGCCCACTCCAGGGGTTGGAGAGCCATTCCAGGGACAAAGACACACCTGGAGTCCACCCAAGCTGCCCTCCATGGGGGATTTCAGGAGAGGTGGGGGCTGAGATATGTTTCTAAAGCCAGAGGTCTCTTCCGAACCGAAGGATTTGCCTCCAGGGAGATGGTTTACTGAACTGGGCTTTGGTGTCAGGCATGCCTGGGTGAAAATCTTTGCTTCCGGTTCTATGACATTCCATCATATCCACTAACTTCTCCCAACTCTCTGGTCCCATTCTCTCCAGCTCCTTTGCTGACTGTTGCCAGTCTATCCAACCTCGGAATGTTGTGTGTACTCAGAGCTTGGTCCTAGACCTTCCCTTGTTTTCGATTCTGTATTTTGCCCTAAGATGGTGCATGAGTCTGTTAAGGCTGCCATAACAACGTACCACAAACTGACTGGGTGACTTAAACAGTGGACATTTATTTTCTCACAGTCTGGAAGGTAAAAGTCCAAGATCAGATGTCAGCGGGTTGCTTTCTTCTGAGGTCTCTTCCCTTGGTTTGTAGATGGCCTCCTCCTCCCTCCGTTTCACATGGTCTTCCCCCGTGCCTGTGCCCTAATCTCTTCTTAGAAGGACACCAGTCATACTGGATTAGAGTTTGCCCTACTGACCTCATTTTACCTTAATTACTCCTTAAAAGCCCTATCTCCAAATACAATCACATTCGGAGGTACTGGGGCTTAGGACTTCAAAGTAGGATTTCAGGGGAACAAAAATCAAACCAGAGCAGATGGTAATCTCATTCAGGTGGTGATCCATCTGATAGGGACTGCCCCCCCGACCTTCATAGCAGCCCACCTGTTCAGCGTTCATACCCACATATCCATAATAGAGCTCTTCTCGTCCCCCGGGTTCCCCTGCCTCAGCCTTCTCCTCTTAGCAGATACCATCTGCAGGTCCACTTGGGTGCCCATAGCAGTAACCGCAGAGTCTTCCCCATTTACTCCCTCAGCCTCACCCGCTCCTGCAGCCTAGGCACTGTCTCTGTCTCTGCATTGCTCAAGCCTCCACCATCTCAGTTACACCTCACAGCCACCCTTCCTGCGTTCAGTCTTCAGCCTCCTGCCCATTGTCCTCTCCACAGTCATGGTGACCTCAAGATGACAAGGTCTCTGCTAAAGCCCCCGCTTGGAATGTTCTTTCCTCCTGCACTTTTCCTAGCCAACTGCTGTCCATTATCCATCCTGAAATTTCTCTACTAGTCAGGAATCTAACTGCTGCAAGAAACAGCCCCCAAAGTGTCTGTGGCTTCACACAACAGGCTTATTTCTTGTCCGTATAATGTCTAATTGAGTATGTCCGCTTAACAGGCAGCCTTCCATGTGGTCATTCAGGAACCCAGGCTCTTTCCATCTGTGACACCTCCCGCTTTGAGTCCACGAGAGTCCGTGCAAGAGACAGTGAAGAAGACACACCCACTTTTCTTAACTACCTGTGCTCATATCCCATTGGTCAGAATTTGGTCATATGCCCTGCCAACCCGGCCGCAGGGAAGGCTGGGAAAATGGTCCAGGGACAGGGCAGGGTACACACCGCCAGTCTCAGCCACAGAGTCACTTGGCTGGAAGAGGCTCACCTGCCAGTTCAAATTGGGCCTTTCCTTTTGTGTTCTTTTCTACCATTGTGTACTTTTTCTTGATGGACCTTGTCATACACTGTGTTAAATAGGTATTTGAGTATTTGTTTAATATCGGTTCTCCCCAGTAGAGTGTAAGCCCCATAAGAACAGAAACAAGTCCTACTGTGCTCACTCACTGCTTTATCCCCAGTGCCATGGGAAGGGTCCAGTACAAAATGGGCACTCAGTAAATATGAGATGAAAGAGGGAGGAAGGAAGAGAAGGAGGGTATGGTTGGGTGAAATCCTAATTCTGCCACTAATTCCACAGCTTTAGGTAAATTATACAACTCTAAGGGCCTCAATTTCCTCTTATGTAAAGTGGTAGAAGTCATTCTTACTATGCAGCATTATTGTGTGACTGAATTAAGGCAGTGTCCTAAGGTTCCTAGCAGAGTGCCTGATATATATATAGTGGGTGAGTGATACTACAGTTATCATAGGATTATCACGTATGTGGATGCTCTAGCTCCTTGGTTGCCATGGTCAAATGCTTGCGGAAAGTTCTTGTGCCTGTGGGTCTGGGTGTACGTGGGTAAGAGTGCATGCCTGTGCTTCCTTTCAGGGCATCCCTCTCATCCTTTCTCTCCCTCCAGGTTAAAGTTAAACAGTAAGAGGAACCAGCTGGTGAGAGAACTGGAGGAAGCCACTCGGCAGGTGGCAACTCTGCACTCTCAGCTGAAAAGGTGAGTGGTGGGCGGTGAGGCCACTGCTCCCCTGGGCATGGCCAGACATCGGTGTCCCCAGTGTCCCAGCCCAGGCTCTACCCTTCACTTGTCTTCCGTGGCTTGAGTGTGGACGTTTAGAAGCACAGCAAGTGGATTGTCAGCAGACTCAGGCGTGGCCTGGTGTGGCTAGGAATAGGGGTCTTGACCTATCCAGACTGATAGCACAAAGAAGGCCCCAGGCAGGTACTAGGAAGTCTTAGGAGACTTGGCTGGGTGTCATGGCTCACACCTGTGATCCCAGCACTTTGCGAGGCCAGGGTGGGTGGATCGCTTGAGCTCAGAAGTTTGAAACCAGCCTGGGCAACATGGCGAAACCCCATTTCTGCTAAAACTACGAAAATTAGCCGGGTGTGGCGGTGCATGCCTGTGGTCCCAGCTACTCGGGAGGCTGAGGTGGGAGGATGACTTGAGCCTGGGAGGAGGCTTACCGTGAGCCAAGATCGTGCCACTGCACTCCAGCCTGGGTGACAGAGCCAGACTTGTCTCCAAAAAGAAAAAAAAAGACTTAGGAAACTCACACTGCCACCTACCTGTACAACGCAGAGAAAGTAGCCTCAGGCCTGGGCCTCCATAAACAACAGTGCATCACGGAATCTAATAACAACATTTTTTTTCATTAGATTTTTTTTCTAATGGTGGCCTTCTCTTTGTAGTAAGTGATATTGCTTTTCAAATTACACTTAGGATGTAAAGTTTTCTTTAAGATAGATGTTTTAAAGTATTAAAACAGTAAGTTGGGGTGGGCGCAGTGGCTCACGCCTATGATCCTACCACTTTGGGAGGCCGAGGCGGGTGGATTGCCTGAGCTCAGGAGTTTGAGACTAACCTGGGCAACAAGGTGAAACACTGTCTCTACTAAAATACAAAAAATTAGCCAGGTATGCTGGCGGGTGCCTATAGTCCCAGATACTCAGGAGGCTGAGGCAGGAGAATTGCTTAAACCCAGGAGGCGGAGGTTGCAGTGAGCCAAGATCGTGCCACTATACTCCAGCTTGGGCGACAGAGCGAGACTCCGTCTCCAAAAAAAAAAAAAACAGTGAGTTGATTTCAAGAAAGACATTAAGAAATTTTTATTTCATAGTGGATTCAACTATGAAAAAATACACAAATGCAGTGTAGCCAATTGGAGCTTTGGGAAACAGATCTAGAGGAAAAAGTGAACTTTTAAGGCAGCTAACTTGAGTCCAAAGCCCAGCTCTGCCATGTCTTGATTATATGGCCTTCTTGGGGTATCAGTTTTCCATGAAATGGGGGTGAAGGGTCTACCCTAGAGATTGCCAAGCAAGTCTAGTGAGATCATGGTGCTTTCCAGAGCCCAGCAGAGGGGCTCAGGGGGCCCACTTCACTGTGTGCATCTCACTGTCCTTCCCCTCCCGGTGTCCCAGTCTCTCAAGCAGCATGCAGTCGCTGTCCTCAGGCAGCAGCCCCGGATCCCTCACGTCCAGCCGGGGCTCCCTGGTTGCATCCAGCCTGGACTCCTCCACTTCAGCCAGCTTCACTGACCTCTACTATGACCCCTTTGAGCAGCTGGACTCAGAGCTGCAGAGCAAGGTGGAGTTTCTGCTCCTGGAGGGGGCCACCGGCTTCCGGCCTTCGGGCTGCATCACTACCATCCATGAGGACGAGGTGGCCAAGACCCAGAAGGCAGAGGGAGGTGGCCGCCTGCAGGCTCTGCGTTCCCTGTCTGGCACCCCAAAGTCCATGACCTCCCTGTCCCCACGTTCCTCTCTCTCCTCCCCCTCCCCACCCTGTTCCCCTCTCATGGCTGACCCCCTCCTGGCTGGTGATGCTTTCCTCAACTCCCTGGAGTTTGAAGACCCAGAGCTGAGTGCCACTCTTTGTGAACTGAGCCTTGGTAACAGCACCCAGGAAAGATACCGGCTGGAGGAACCAGGAACGGAGGGCAAGCAGCTGGGCCAAGGTAGAGAGCACCATGCCCAGAGGGTGCGAACCGGGAAGAGGGAAGGAGATACTCTGTGCTCAGAACCCCCAGTGATCATTCTAGTCTATATTTACTGACTGCTTTCTGTGTGCTGGGTCTTTGTATGGCAAGTATATTTATTCAGTGGGATATTTATTAACTCAGTATTTTTGAGGTCCTGTGCGAAGGGTTTTTGGTAGTAGATTCTGTCTTCCAACAGACATTTAGCACCTTATAAAACTAAGTGTCAGGTCATCCTGTGCTCATGGATACACATGGATTCATCTATCCATTCATTGAACAGATACGCTGTGTGTCAGGCACTGGGTTGGTCACTAAGGATTCTGTGTTGAAGACACACAGGGTCCCTGTTCTCATGAAGCTTATGTTCAGATGGAGGCACAGGGAATGAACCTGCAACCAAACAAGCACTACAAAGGAAATAAAACAGGGAATGTGATCCAGGCTTTCAGGTTGGAGGTGGGACTGCCGGGGCAGGTTGGGTTGTGAAAGAAGATGACATTTGAGGGTGTCTTGAATGGTGAGATGGAGCCAGCCTTGGGAAAAGCAAGAAATCTCTGAGGTCAGAGCAAGGGAATAGAAGGGGAGCCAGGAAGCCGTGAGTCAGAGGTAGGGGTTACCAGCGAGGCTGGAGAACTAGGCAGAGTCCAGATCCTGAAAGGCCTGGTGGGCTCTGCTAAGGAGTTTGGATTTTATCCTAATTGCACTGGGGACCCATGGGACTGTTTGAAGCTGGTAATATGAGCTAACTCCCATTCTGCATGGGGTCAGAAGGAACACTTTGGTGGATGTTGGTCGGGATTTAAATTGGAATCTTCAAAACGGAAGATGATGCTGACATTGACAGCTAAGATTTATTAGGAGAAAACCTTTTTATCTTTAGCAGCAACCACATAATAAATCATAATAGCTAACTTTTATTGAGGATGTGTTATGAGTTGGGCAATGTGCTTAATATATGGTGAAATTGGTTATTTCTATTCTGTCCATTTCACTGATGAGGAATTGGAGATTCAGAGAGGTGATGTCACTTACCTTAGGTCACCCAGCCAACAAGCGAGGAAGCAGGGATAGGAACCTGAGTCTTTCTCGCCCCAGAACCCAACCCCTTTATTGTCATGCCTTAGGCTGGGAGGCAGTTCAGTGTGCACATTCATGCCAACTCCTGGTGCTTGGGGCCCCACCAACCCCATCTGGCTCTGGGTGTGAAGGTCAGGACTGAGTAGGGTGCTGGGTAAACTCACCTGGGCCTCCTTGGCTTTCTTGGCCACAGTAACAATAGCTCACAATAATCGTAGCTATGCTATATATAGTACAGGTGTTTAGGATTCAGGTACTTCTGTGCATATTTACTCATTTAAGCCTCACAACACCTCTGGGAAGTGTTTGCTATTTTTAATCTTTTTTTTTTTTTTGAGACAGAGTCTCACTCTGTAACCCGGGCTGGAGTGCAGTGGCGCCATCCTGGCTCACTGCAACCTCCACCTCCTGAGTTCAAGCGATTCTCCTGCCTTGGCCTCCCAAGTAGCTGGGATTACAGGTGCACGCCACCATGCCTGGCTAATTTTTTGTATTTTTAGTAAAAACGGGCTTTCACCATGTTGACCAGGCTGGTCTTGAACTCCTGACCTCAGTTGATCCACCCGTGTTGGCCTCCCAAAGTGCTGGGATTACAGGCGTGAACCACCAAGCCCTGTCCCTTTTATCCCCATCTTAAAGATGAAAAAAGTGAGGCACAGTGAGGTTAAAAGACTTGTCTGAGGTTAGTCCCACAGAGTGAAATGGCAAGACCAGGACTGGCACAAGGACCACCTGCTCAGAATGCACACTATTATCCATGTGCCAAGTTCTGTCTACAAAAAGCTTGTGCTCCTGGCTCCAGGTGAGGCCAGCTAGAAGCAGCCAGACCCATATTAGCCCTGTGGCTCCAGGCTTGGGCAGGAGTGCTGCTGCTGTGCCCAGAATTGTCCACTCGTGTGCAAGGGCCAGGGGGAGCATGGTAGGGAAATGAGGTTTCCTTGTTAACAAAGCATTTGAGTGCCAGTGTTTCCTTAGAAGAGGAGCCGGGAGATCCCTGGATTTCCCTCATCAGGAAGGGAGTCTTGCTGAGTGCTTTCAAAATAAAAGCAAGCACCCTACTATAGCAGGCGACAAGCTTCAGAAAATTGTTCCCTGGAGAGGAGGGGGTACAGGTGAAATGTCTAACGAGGCTCAAGGAGCGTGCCTCTGATGGCAATATTAAGCCAAGTCAGGACACTCAGACCCCAGCTGTGTCCTGTGAAGTGACCCCCTCCTCTCCCCTCCCCAGCAGTGTCCTTGGGGCTTGTGGGCCTAAGACAGCACATTAGGCTGGGCACACACAGGTCTCGGGATGGCATTTCCTTCGTGCCATCTCCAGAAGCCTTCCCTACAGCCTGCAATGCCAGGCAGAGCTCAGACGCTAAGCAGGTTATGTGATTAGTGCTGCTGTTCAGTCAGCAGACAAATTAATCTCCTTAAGTGGTTTAGTGGAGGGTGGAGATATGTGGGTCTGAAAGCAGGAGGTCTCCACGGGCTCAGCAGGCATGGGACGCAGGCTTGGCTTCCCCATCGCCAGCACTTGCCGTCTCCCAGACCCGCCTTGTCACCCATCGCCATCGCCAGCCTGCCATGCCCCAGACTCTGTGCCCCTCAATGCTGCGAGCCGTTGCCCTTCTCCAGTCTGTCCGCAGGTGCTCAGAGGTATTAGCTGTGACATTGTAAGATCTGGATCTGGCCTTCCCCCCTGCAAGGAGGGCAGGAACCGTCTTATTCATCTTTGTAGTTCCGAACATGGCAATGGGCCTGGCATATTGTGGGTGTTCATTACTTGGGCAAGGAAGGAATGTGCAGCATGTGTTGAGTGCTCAGTTATGAGCCTCAGATCACAGACTTTCAAGGGCCCCTGTTAAGGGTAGGGAAGAGGAGGAGCTGAATTAGGAGCGGAAAGGGATAGGCAGTGGAAGAACGGGTGCTTAATCTCTCCCTTCTCTGTCCTGAGGGTCCAGGGGCTGTTATTTTGCCCCAGGTGGGTAGGGATGGATCTATTAGGTTGGTGCAAAGTAATTGCGGTTTTTGCCATTGAAAGTATAGATATCCACAGTGATAGGAACAGTAGTGGCAATAAGGATAGCTGTAATGAGTTGTGTAGAGCACTTTGCCTGCCTGCACCAATCTCTATGTTAAGGACTTCCCCTATAATGTCTCGCTGAGTCCTCTTAACTTGGATAATAAGAAGTAGGTATTATTATTATAGTAATACCTACTTCTTATTATCCAAGTTTTCCAAATGAGGCATCTGGGGCTTCACAGGATTAAGTCAGTATCTCAAGGTCATGAAGCAATAAGTGGTGGAACTGGATTTGAATCCAGGCAGACTCCAGAGCCTGGGATGGTAAAACACAAAATCACATGTGACTCCTTCCATCACCCTAAAGCAAACTTTTTAAAATTTTTTTTTGCTTTAGCATTTAGAGGTGGTTGGAATTTGGTGGAACCATATTTCATCCATAGAGAGTATATTAAAATGGGGAGTTCAGGCTCCCAAAATCCCAAAGTGTTGGGATTACGGTGGCTCACGCCTGTAATCCCAGCACTTTGGAAGGCCAAAGCAGGCAGATTTCTTGAGACCAGGAGTTCAAGGCCAACCTGGGCAATATGGCAAAACCCCATCTCTGCAACAAAATAATAATAATTTAAAAATTATCTGGGTATGGTGGCACATGCCTGTAGTTCCAGAACTTGGGAGGCGGAGGTGGGAGGATCACCAGAACCCAGAGTGGTCGAGGCTGCAGTGAGCCATGATCGTGCCACTGCACTCCAGCCTGGATGAGTGAGACCCTGCCTCAAAAACAAAACAAAATTGGGAGTTGCAAAGACAGTTTTCTGGTTCCTGAACCTGACTTTCCATTTTCCTTCTCTAGCTGTGAATACGGCCCAGGGGTGTGGCCTGAAAGTGGCCTGTGTCTCAGCCGCGGTATCGGACGAGTCAGTGGCTGGGGACAGTGGTGTGTACGAGGCTTCCGTGCAGAGGTGGGTGTCTGGGTGCTAGCTCTCTCTGTGGCCGTGTAAGCCATGAACTCTGAATATCCAGAACCTAGGCCTGTGGGGTGGCTTAGGTTTTGGCCCCCACAGTGTGTGGGAGGAGCCCCAAGAGGCCATGACCCCACCTTCCTCTTGGCAGCCCAAGGCACAGACAGCATAACTTCTGGGGTTAGAGATGCTTCGGGTTTAGGGGAGTGCTAGTTCTGTGGTAGCTACAAAAAAGGTGTATGGCTAAGGAGCAAGCGCTAGAGAAAGGCCAGGCCCCTTAAGAGAGGAGTCCAAGCTGGGCATAGTGGTGTGAGTCTGTAATCCCAGCTGCTTGGGAGGCTTCAATGGGAGGATCACTTGACGCCAGGAGTTCGAGACCAGCCTGGACAAAATAGTGAGACCCGATCTCTAAAAAGTTTTTTTAATTAAAATTTAAAAAAGGACCTGGAGGGAAGCTGAGCAAACCCCAACTTTCCTTCCTGGGGATGTAACCCCAGTCTCCCAAAGCAGTTTGTTCACTGCAAGGAAGCCTAACTCCCCCTCCCCTGTTGCCTTTCAGACTGGGTGCTTCAGAAGCTGCTGCGTTTGACAGTGACGAATCGGAAGCATTGGGTGCGGCCCGAGTTCAGATTGCCCTGAAGTAAGTGACAAGGACGATGAGGATAGAAGGAACGGTCTGTGTGGGGTCCCTTCTTCATCCGCAGCATTCCCCTACATTTACCTTCACAGCCGCCCAGGGTGGAAGGCAGCACCAGCAGGACCTGCTGGCCATTGCAGCTTCTTAACTGAAGGGACGCTGATTCGTTCTTCACCTCCCAGCCGTCCGCTTTACAGATAGGAGAAATGAGGTTTTAAAAGACTTTATGACTTGGCCCAACTCACTGAGCTGGCTGGTGGCAGAGCCAGGACCAGGACTGAGACCCCCTGCCTCTCAGGGTGTTTGTTCGTTGTTGCTGTGGCTTTTGTCTTTCCATCCCATCTAGGTTTCATTGATCTGGATGAAAGTTGATCACTGGGGGCTGCAGCCCAGATTGGGTCAATACACACATGGTTGTTTTTTTTGTTTTCTCTTGTTGGGGGATGATCTCAATTTTTTTCTGAGACGGAGTCTTGCTCTGTGGCCCAGGCTGGAGTGCAGTGGCGCGATCTCAGCTCACTGCAAGCTCCGCCTCCCAGGTTCACGCCATTCTCCTGCCTCAGCCTTCCGAGTAGCTGGGACTACAGGCACCCGCCACCTCGCCCGGCTAATTTTTTGTATTGTTAGTAGAGACGGGGTTTCACTGTGGTCTCGATCTCCTGACCTTGTGATCCACCTGCCTTGGCCTCCCAAAGTGCTGGCATTACAGGCGTGAGCCACTGCGCCCGGCTTTTTTTTTTTATTTTTTGAGACAGGGTCTCAACTGTTACCCAGGCTGGAGTGCAGTGGTGCGATTTAGCTCGCTGCAACCTCTGCCTCCTGGGTTCAAGCGACTCTCCTGCCTCAGCCTCCCAAGTAGCTGGGATTACAGGCGTGTGCCACCACGCCTGGCTAACTCTTGTATTTTTAATAGAGATGGGTTTTCACCATGTTGGCCAGGCTGGTCTCAAACTCCTGACCTCAAATGATCTGCCTGCCTTGGCCTCCCAAAGTGCTGAGATTACAGGCATGAGCCACCACACCTGGCCTTCAGTATTTTTTAATAGGAATTAGTTGACAACATTACCATATCATGAAATTTCACCCACACTTATGGGTTCTTTTTAAAAATTCAGACAACTGACTGGGCGTGGTGGCTCACACCTGTAATCCCAACGCTTTGGGAGGCCAAGGCAGATGGATCACTTGATTCCAGGAGTTCAGGACCAGCTCAGGCAACATGATGAAACCCCGTCTCTACTAAAAATACAAAAAATTAGCTGGATGTGGTGGTGCACACCTGTAGTCCTAGCTACTCAGGAGGCTGAGGTGGGAGGATCACCTGAGCCTGGGAGGTCGAGGCTACCATGAGCCCTGATCATACCACTGAACTCAACCTGGATGACAGAGTGAGACCCTATTTCAAAAAAAAAAAAAAATTTTTTTCAAACAATTGACAGCTCTAGCTCTACATCCCTGCATGGCAGCAAAGCACTGGGCCTATGCTCTTGAGCTCACCATAGTCCCCAGGGCAGCCAACAGCCACGTCCTGTGACTTTTAACAGAGAAAAGAAATGAGAGAGATGAGCGTGTTATTAATATGCCCCTTTTCATTTCAGGTATGATGAGAAGAATAAGCAATTTGCAATATTAATCATCCAACTGAGTAACCTTTCTGCTCTGTTGCAGCAACAAGACCAGAAAGTGTGAGTATGCAGCTGGACGGGTGTGTATCATACTCTCAGCCTCCGGAGTCACCCCTGGGGGTCACTTTTCTATCCTGTCCTGATCCAGTTATGGGCCATGTCAAGACACTGTGGGTTTGTAATGCATATGGCTGTGATGCTAAATGTCAGTGCTGTGCATGTGAATATAGGCACAATGGCAAGCACACTAACTGTAAAGACAAGCACTCAGATGACTGTGTGAATTCCTGCCCCATTGTATGCTGAGCACCTGCTGAATGCCAGCTCTAGGAATGGGGTGGTGAGCAGATCCTTCCTGGGCCCTACCCTCCTGGACTTTGAGCCTCATGGAGAGAAATGGTCATAGTCTGTTTTATCTTCTCGTAAGCTCAAGTGTTTCTTGCAGAGAGAGGTGGGTCTTCTCTTTCCAAGAGTCAGCACCAGTCACTGTGCTTCTCTTGGAGGGGTGTGACTATGTGTTACCTTGATGCTGACAGGATGCAAACACCTGTTCTGTCCGCATGCGGGCTCCTCCCATGGTAGATGGGTTTATCCTTTATTGCACTCATCTGCCTACAAGTTTTCTCGGATCATAAGGCCCAGAGGGTGGCAACAGAAGCTTATGTGTCTGTGGTCTACACCCAGCCAGCCTGTGAGGGTGGCGAATATGGGAAGAAGGAAGGGCAGGAAGGTGGACAAAACAGAAGGAAGACAAGATGGAATGCTTGGGTCATTTTCAGTCTTTTGCCCACCCAGATGGTGCCAGGCTGAATAGCCTTCTCCATAGCTCACTGGTACTCAGGCAGGGGTATCTGTGGGATGATGCCTGGAAGTGAAGGGTCTGGACCAAAGGACAAATGCATCTGGAATTTTGTTCGATTTGTCACAGTTTCTTCCAGTGTATGGGGCCTGATTCCCCAGATTCCTCACTTCTACAAATTCTCATCCACTGTTGTTTGCTTAGGGATTTCAGCAGCTGTTTAGTCCAACACTTTAGCCCCAGACATGGGCTGACCCAAGGTTTCCTGCGGCTCTGTCTCCCTCTAGGAATATCCGCGTGGCTGTCCTTCCTTGCTCTGAAAGCACCACCTGCCTGTTCCGGACCCGGCCTCTGGACGCCTCAGACACTCTAGTGTTCAATGAGGTGTTCTGGGTATCCATGTCCTATCCAGCCCTTCACCAGAAGACCTTAAGAGTCGATGTCTGTACCACCGACAGGAGCCATCTGGAAGAGTGCCTGGTAAGGGCCGTGGCTGGCTGGCTGGCTGGCTGGCCTTCTGTGTTTATGGAGATTGGTCCACCCTGAGCTTCAGGAAGAAGGCTTGAAGGAGACGCAGGTTGTGCTATCAATCAGGCTCATCTTGGAGTCTAGGCAGCAAGACTTCCACAGGTGAATGTTGTTCTCAGACTTAGGGTAGGAGGGAAGGAACTCTTTCGCGAGAGGAAGAATAATGGACCAGAAAGTGCCTTTGGAAACTGCCAGAAGCTGGAAAACGCCGCAGGCCGCAGCTTTACTCTACAGCATGAGAGATTAGATAAGCACAGACTATGGCTGTGTGGTGGCTTATATCTGTAATCCCAACCCTTTGGGAGGTCAAGGCCAGAGGATCGCTCAAGTGCAGGAGTTCGAGAGCAGCCTGGGCAACACAGCAAGACCCCATCTCTACAAAAATTAAAATTAGCCAGGCTTGGTGGTGCATGCTTGTAGTCCTAGCTACTCTGGAGGCTGAGATGAGAGGATCCCTTGAGCTGCAGTGAGCTGACATGCTACAGTATTCTGGCCTGGGCAACAGCAGAACTCTGTGTCAAAAAAAAAAAAAAAAAAAAACACAGAATAATGAAAACAAACACATAGGCCTTCACATCCCACCTTTACCACTTGTTATATAGCTGGATGACCTTGGGCAAGGTACTTAACATCTCTGATCCTCATTTTTCTTATCTGTAAAATGCAAATGATAATGCCTCCATCATGCCCACTAGAAGAATCTTTATAAGGATTGAGATAGCATCCATAAAGCACCCATTCAAGTGTCTGACCCACAGTGGGTTCTCATTGAATGGGGCCATTGCTAGTCTCCTCCCTGAAACGGACCTCCTCTGGCTTCCATCTGTCACTGCATTGGCAGGAGTCAGGACTGGGAATGAAGTAGCCCAGGTACATTGTGTCCTAAGAGACAGGCAGACCCAAGTGCAGACAGATACTCAGCTTTCCCATATGTAGAAGGGAGATTTATATAATAGCTAACTCGGGCTTAAGATGTACAAGTGAATTAAAAGAAGTAAAGGGCTTTGTTAACCCTGATGCCATTTAGTGTTAGAGTATTTTAATGATAACGCAACTGTGAGCACGAAGGAGCCCAAGCGTGGGCATTATACCTAGAAGGTTGCTCCACTCATGCTCAGATCTGCACTGGGAGCTTATTGTGTCCCCACCCGTGTCTGCGGCTGGGAATTCAATGGGGAACCAAACAGACAAGGCGCCAGCATTGATGGCTAAGATGTAAATGAACTGTGAGGAGGGCCGTGTTGGAAATGGATGGGTTGAAGTGATGGAGGAAAATGTGGGATGAGTGCAAAAGGGAGAAACAAGATGTGTACACCTCTCTAAGCCTCTCCTGTCTCCATGTCTGGAAGCTGGAATGTAGAGCTTCTCACTGCCTTCTCGGAGGGCTCACCCCTTTCTCCTGCTGTAACTCACAGGCGTTTGCCCAGAGTAGGGAATCTCTTTGCTCTCCATCCTTGCCTTGATCTGCATGCTCTGTAAAACCCTTCTCTATCATGGCATTGTGGGGCCACATCCTTGGATTGTGGCCTGGGGCCGTCACCAGGCTTGCCCTTCCAGCTGTGTCTCCTCACAATCTTCAATTCTCTGTCTCAGTTCTCTTATCTGTAAAATCTGGCTCATGCTGCCTTCCTGGAGGTGGTTCTCTGAAGACTAAACAAGGCGCTAAAGCAGAGCTTCAAACTGTGCCTTGCACACAAGTTACCTGGAGCTCTGGCTAAAATGCAGATTCTGATTCAGCAAGTCTGGAGCAGAACCTGAGAGTCTGCATTTCTAACAAGCTCCCAGGTGAGGCCGATGATGTTGTACTGACAATAATGCAATAATTAATGCCAGTAGGATGCAGTTTATATGGCAGGCACTGAGCTAAGCTCTTTACATGCATTATCTCTGTTTTTTTTTTTTTAATTTTAGACTGAGTCTCGCTTTCAGTCTCTGGAGTGCAGTGGCGTGATCTCGGCTCACTGAAACCTTCGCCTCCCAGGTTCCAGCAATTCTCCTGCCTTAGACTCCCGAGTAGCTGGGACCACAGGCGCACACCACCATACCTGGCTAATTTTTGTATTTTTAGTAGAGGCGGGGTTTCGCCATGTTACCCAGGCTGATCTTAAACTCCTGACCTCAAGTGATCCACCTGCCTCCGCCTCCTAAAGTGCTGGGATTACAGGTGTGAGCCACCACGCCCATTATCTCTATTGATCCTCGCTCCAACCTTGCAAAATAGGTAGCGTATTCCAGTGGAGAAACTGAGGCACAAAGAGGTGAAAGACTTTTCCTAGATCACACAGTTAGGAAAGTGGCAGAAGCCATATTTGAACCCCAGCGGGTCTACCTCCGAAGTCCACACACGTCAGTGCCTCTGTGTTGTCTTTTTGCCAGCACAGGGCTCCCTGGAGCTCAGAGGTGGGGGTGGTGACTTGAAGGGGTTGGCAAGCCTGGTCTCCTCCAGCGAAGCATTCCCTTGGCTCTGGGCATTCCTAAACGAGAAGAGGCTAAATCCTATTTTCTTCTCCTAATTGGATGCCTTTTATTCCTCCTTCCTAATTGAAGTCTGGTCATTGCTGGTTGCCATGGCAGCAGCCAAAGCGCTCATCTCACTGTGGCTTGTCTCTGCCTGCAGCCAATGGGAAACCTCCTTTCCCGTATACGGTGGGGACATGGAGTGTCAGGCTGTCGTATTTTGGTGGCTGGAGGAGGAGAGGAAGTGAGATGGGAGGAAAAAGGGCCTGTCCGCTCCCACGCAGAGACTCCGGGCAGCAGGGTATGTGGAATCCCCAGTCCGTTTTCAGCCAGGCAGCAACAGCATCTGTACTGAGCTGAGTCTATGTGTCTACCAGTGGGCCAAGAACTTCGTGTGCAGTATCTCATTTAATCTTCACGATCGCCCCAGGAAGATAAGGGATCAAGGCCCAGAAAGGCTAAGTAACCTGCCAGGTCGTCCAAGGAGAAGATGGCGAAGCCTGGATTTGAACAGAGACTCCAGCTTCCTTATGTGTAGCCATCACACCATGCCACTTCTCAGGAGGTTACTGTGAGTGTCTCTCATGTCCCCAGACCCAGATTACAGGTTTGGAGGACTACACAGCCCACCTTCCCAATATGGCAGGCAACAGTTCCACCAAATGCCCTAGCATGGCATCGCAGGGGGCCTAGTTGCCCACTGCTCTACTGCTGCGTTCAGTGCCACCCAGCCCAGGCTCTCTCGAGCTAGCCTGCTTCTCATGCCCCACTTATGTCCCATGGTTCACCATTACAACCGTTCCCTTGCTCCCTCTCACTTTGGCATACTAACTTGGCAAAACCCCAGCCCTGTCAAAGCGAGCTCTCCACCCCCTCCTCTCCAACTGAGCAACTGGAAAAAAAATGCACACAACCACGCTGTATGGTGTCATTTGGAAATGGTAATCACTCACTTCCCATGAGCCCTGAATGCTGCCCAGAAATTATACTGTATCTCCCTGGATGATTTACTCACCCACTCATCACAATGACTAATTCATACTTCTCTCAGGGAGAGAAGACAGAACAGACTCAGAAGAGGGCCCCCATATCTAGCTATTCTTGTAAATTCTGCCATTTCCCTGGCTTCTGAGGATGGGCCTTCTGCACTCCTGTCTGAGGCCAGCGCCCCCATTTTCTCACAAGGACATTACTCCAGCAGCCATTCTGCTCTTTCCTCTGTCTTCAGTTTTCCCCCTTCCACTGGATCCAGCCTATCAGTATACCATCATGCTATTATTTCTCCCATGCTCAAAACAAAACAAACGTTTTTTTGACTGAGGATCTTGCTCTGTTGCCCAGGCTGGAGTGCAGTGCTGTGAACTCGGCTCACAGCAGCCTTGACCTTCTGGGTTCAAGTGATACTCCCACTTCAGCCTCTCCAGTAGCTGGGACTACAGGCACATGCCACCATGCCTGGCTAATTTTTGTATTTTTTGTAGAGATGGGGTCTCACTATGTTGCCCAGGCTGGTTGAACTCCTGGGCTCAGAGAGTCCTCCTGCCTCAGCCTCCCAAAGGACTGGGGTTACAGGCGTGAGCCACCACACCCAACCTAAAACTTTTTCGCCCCATTTCCACTTCCAACTACTACATTGTTTCTTTTGCTTTCTTTATAGAAAAACTTGAAAGAGGTGTTCCCTTCCTCTCTGTAACCCAATCTACGTGGACTTTGGCCCTCATCTTTCTTTTTTTTATATTTTTTTACTTTTATTTTTTAGTTTTTGAGAGAGAGTCTCACTCTGCCACCCAGACTGGAGGGCAATGGCATGATCTCGGCTCATTGCAACCTCCACTTCTTGGGTCCAAGCCATTCTCCTGCCTCAGCCTCCCAAGTAGCTGGGACTACAGGCATGCATTACCACACCAGGCTAATTTTTTGTATTTTTAGTAGAGTGAGGTTTCACCATGTTGGCCATGCTAGTCTCAAACTTCTGACCTCAAGTGATCCACCCACCTTGTCCTCCTAAAGTGGTAGGATTACAGGCGTGAGCCACCGTGCCTAGCCTGGCCCTCATCTTTGTACCAAGGGTGTCCTCATCATGTTCATCAGTGAGCTCCTTGTTACCAGACCAGGGGCCAGCTCTCCATCTTCCTTCTGGACCTGCCAGCTACACTTGCCGCAGTTGCTGACTCCACCTCCCTCAACATCCTTTGCCCTTGCTTGGCCTCCTGTTTACCTTGCTCTTCCAGTGTTCTCCCCTCACCTCTAGCATCTTGGTCTCCTTTGCTGGTTCTTCCTCATTTCCCTGACCTCCCTATCTCAGAGGGCCCAGGGCTGGGTCCTTGATCCTCCCCTTTTCTAGTCGTTTCCTTGGTGATCTCATTTTATCTCCCAGTTGCAAACCCATCCCAAGTGCAGGGCTCCAGCCTGGGCCTCCCCACACCCCTCGAATCTCTTATTTCCACTGCCTGTTCTGCATTTTCACTTAAACATAAAATAGGACCTCAAACTAA